CTTGGATTCTGGCAGCCATGCCAGCAGCTGAGAATAGCTCAGTTCTAGGAACGATCTAGTTAACATCCCTGTCTTTGCCCCGGTGGTCTCCGGCCAGGCCGACACCCCCGGCTGTCCCTTTGGCATACCGCAGGGAGGGGGCCCTGGGGCAGTGCTGGCGCTAAGGGCTCTGGCTCAGCTCTCCATCCTGCTCTCCACTCATCCAGCCTCTCTCCCCGCCTGCGTCCCTCTGGGCTTTATGTTTGCTGAGGAAATCCTGGCCACGTTTTTCAGATGACGTTGCTCTTTCTCCCTGGGAGGGAGGATGACAGCTGAACCCCTCCTGGCTCATGCTGTGCCCTGTACCTCCTGCTTACAGAAACAGGGCGCACTGGAGCATCGTGCGGCGCAAAAGTGGAAATATTATCAGCTCTGAGAGCGGTACAAGGGGGAGAGCCATGAATATCAGATGGAACTCCGAGGACATTGTCTCCAACACTGCACTTGTTAAGAGCATTAGAAATTCAGCAGCACTTTTAATAATTCCAAGAGCCACAGCATCACCTAGTGGCCAGCGCAGCGGAGGACGTTCGGGACACCCAGGTCCTTCCAGCCTGAGCCCTGAGCTGGAGGGCAGAGGAGCTTGGGAACTGCAGGTGGGAGGTGGAAGTTGATTCTTGACATAACCCCCACTAAAAGTCACATTTTCTGCTTCCTCTGACCTGTGGCAGAGGGTAAACGAGGCATTCAGGGCACTGGCTTCAGCACTGCAGCGGACAAGGGCCTGTTCGGGAATGTCAAGGACAGAGCTCAGCTCCCCTGGCAGAGCTGCAGTCGCCAGGCACCCTACTGATGCTCTGTGCCAGCCAGAGCCGTGCCACAGCACGGACTGGCAAAGCCAGAGGCTCCCGAGTATAAGCACCACCATTACAGTGTACGCTGTGCTGGCACTTTCAGACCCAGACAGTGCCAGGCCATGCACAAACACTTCTCCCTCCGAAAGGAAGTATAAACCGGAATCTGAAGGTCACTCATCCATGCAGGGCCAGGCAGGAGAGCAGCTTTCTGCTCCATTGGAGGAGCATCACGGTGGCAGGCTGGCTCCTTTGGGGCAATGTCAAATTCTGCTCCCCCAAGAGGACTAGGACTGGGCAAGGACTCCTGTGTCCCACTTGATTTTTTCAGACAGGCTGCATGGAAAGTAAGAAGCTGGGATGGTATTTCTGCTCGCGGTGTCACTACTACCTTCTGGCAGATGCCTGCAGCAGAGGGCAAAGCTCCAGCCAAAGACCCTTTAGACGCCTGCAGCCCTGTGGGACTCAAGCGCTAACGTCTGCCTTACAGACTGTGCAGTGAGGAGAAAGCAGAGCTCTCTCCCCAGGAGCATCCCTACCTGTCCTGCACGTGGAAACACATGGCTGTCCTCAGTCTCCCAGGCTGTCCCTGGCCTGTGCAGGCTATTCAAACAGGCTCCGAACATGGAGAGAAGGTGGCAGATGGGAATATGCTGTTGGTAACGTGGGCTTGGGAGAGACACCTACAGAGGACCACAGTCAGGAGCAGCCTGGTGCACTGAAACCCCACTGCAGAAGTTTGCATGATTCATAGCTTTGCCTTGGTGACAGAGGGGAAAAAAATGGTGGCTAATTTTAGTACAGATGTTTCCAGGCACCTATACTGCTTTTATTTCTGGATATTTGCTCAGCACCACAGCTGTTTCAGCCAAGAGCTGAGCTTCCTAAATAAAGCTGAGACTTACTTACAAAAAGGCTCAAGGGAGGTAGGCACCTTCTCCTGGATGGAAGATCCATGTCATAATCACTACTGAGGCATGGGGTCTAAGGGAGACAGAACAAAGTGCAAGAGACTGAGGAGGTTCCTGAAGTCTTTAAAGAAATGCCATTACAGCAAATTTCTTCGCAGAAGCATGTTGCTAATGAGGGAAAGCGTGGCCCTCATGTCTGGGCACCTCTGCAAGTATGGCCCTGTGGGGCGCAGGACCTAGGTATTCTCACCACTCCGTTTGGTACTCAGGGCCCCTGATGTGCGTGGGCAGCAAAGATGCCCAAATCATGAACCACTGTGAAGCACGCTTGTGTAGGGCAGAAATCAGATTGGCGCTGACATGGAGAAAGGAGAAGCAGCAATGTAGGAGCAGGGTGCTGTCATGCAGAATACATGTGCTTCTAAGCAGGCTGTGAGTTACAACATGTTTGACCTGGTTTTGAGAAGAGGGGAGAGGTTTGCCCTGCTCTTGTTTCCCTTGACACATCCATGCTAATCATGACAGATCTGAGACTGGGAGATGCCACCTCCTGCCCGGCTGTGATTAGCCTGCAGACAGCCTCAGAATAGCTTCAGCCTACACACTGGCTGCTAGTGCTTCCTCTACAAAGAAAAGCAATCAAAACAAGCAAGAGCAGTTTGGAAAGCTGATATTGCAACCTCCCTCCCAGGAAAGAGGATAGAGATCCTGCTGATTTTGCTTCAAATGGTGCTACTTTAATTACACTACACACTGTGCCTGAATGATATAAAGAAGCAGAGTGCTCTAGCACACCAGCCTTGGCAAGGAGGGCACTGGAGACCCCACAAGCTCACGCATACAGTGGAGGAGGGAGCTGCAAGAGGGAAGTGAGAACCACCGCAAGACAGAGCAAATGCTGCCTTAAGCTAGGCCCTTAACTCCTAGGGGCAGTCCCACAGATTTTGTCTGCCAAGGACTGGCCACTGGTACATCTGTGGGGCAGCACACAGCAGAGACATGGGAAGCAGTGTCAGATCCTTTTGCACAGGCACATGGCCCCCCTGCCTTCCCCAAAGCTGCCTTTGACTTCCTAGGTCTAGCAAGTCTGGTTAATCATTACGGACCATTTTGAATGTTTGCAGGTTCTTTGCCCGCATTTATGCCTTTTATTTTTTGTTGTTTGTTTTGCCATTAGAGTACCGAAGGCATTACTACACAGGCTGTCCTGCTCACCCACTCACCGAAACTGCCTCTAAAAGCCAACAGAGGCAGAAGTCTGCCTCTGGCACTGCATTGTTCCTGCCTGTGGCAGGGCTGTCTGGCAAATTGCTTCTTGGGAACCATCTGGTAACTCTGTAGTCCCATTAAAAGCACTAGCTGCCCACTTTCAGCTGCTGCCTGTGCTGCAGCAGAGACACAGACCCATCCTCAGCTGCACGCTGTGTTGGTCGTGGACCACCACCAGACGGACGTGCATACGCCGGGGGAGCACGCAAGGGCTGGCACCTGCTCTCCTCCAGCCCTCCGATGATGCAAGGATAACATTTCCTTCACGCGTCCGTCCCAGAATGCGACACGTCTGTGCTCTGCCAGACAGCCTGCGCTCCCGTGCCAGCGCCAGCCTGCAGGAGCTCAGCTCCTGGCGCTGTTTTTACAGCTGGAATGAATTTGGCTCTTGTTCAGTCCATGGCTGGAACATGGCTGTATTTGGCTTGTCTCTCTCTGGTCACACAGGTACAGCTGAGATTAGGGTTTGGCTTGGCTTATATTAAGGGGGCATAGCTTTTTTGGTTTGGTGTGTTTTAAGTGGAAAACTGAGAACAGGAAAACTGTCTGAAACATTAAATTAGCACAAGGTCTGTGCAGAGCTGCTCCTTGGGCAGAGGGGCCAAAGTGCAGCATCTGGCTCTAAGAGAAAGGGTTTGTGCCCATTGAGATCATGCTCCCCACCCTGCACCTTTGATCACACAACTGTGGGAAGGCAGTTGCAAAAATACCCTGAAACCTGTTATCATTCACACCGATGATTCATGTATCGGTCAGGCAGGGCTGAAAGGCTGAAAGACACGGAGCTGTGTATGGGGTATGGTAGGTTTGTCACAGAAGAAGGAAACACAGCCCCACATCTCCCCTTTGGACCTTCTCCTTGCAAGAGTTGCCCAGGTTCTGCCTTGGCTCAATAGCTCTTCCCAGACACTTCTTGGGTCTTTCTCATTACGCATGGGTGTGGTACGCTGGGGTGGTGCATTTGGGTTTGCGTGTTACCGTAGCAGAGGCTGGGGCTTCTCAGGGCTGACGTTTCTCTCTGATTTCAGGAACTGTCCTTCGCCTTTTAAAAGAAAGAAAGAAAAGCAAGGTAAGGATTTGTGAAAATGCTTTAAAGGACAAGAAGAGGTGGAGTGACTGAGACCCTAGTTAGCTGACGTTAGTCAGTGCTGACTGTGAATTGGGTCCCTGAGGCTGAGGTCCCCCTCCCATACCCTTTGGTACCTAACCTTCCTCAGGAGAAGTTCGGCAGAAGCAAGAGGCAAGATTTCTTCAAAGCTTAAAGCAAGGGATGTCATGTGCTATGGGACTTGGCAAGGGGGAGGGAAGGGACTTTAAAGCAGTATCTTTAAAATACCAGAATCTTGCATCAAAACATGAGTACTCTCAAGTGGCAGCATAGCAGAAACTTCATCAAACTCCTCTAAGAGCTGCAAACAACGGTCTACATCAGTCCCTCAGAATAAAGCACATTCCCTAAGTAGCTCTGCTGTGTCCTGTGGCCTTTGGACCATGCTGGGCAAAATACGTTTGCTGGGCAGCAGAGGAAATAACAAAGTTAAAACTGGATCTGACTTCGCCAAGGGGCTGACAAGGAAGCTCTCTGTGCTGCGTCTGTCCTAGGTTCTGCCAAGAACATTGCGGCCCACAGCATGTTGTCATCCTGGGAAACCTTATTTTTTCCAAAGAAACAAGCCCAGTCTTTCTTCTTGGAGGAGAGCCTCAGCATTAGGGTTGAGGGTGTCAGATGAAGTGGAAATTGGATTGGTGTCCAGTGGGGAAAGCCCATGGGCCAGTCGCTGCATTTCTGCATTCAGAGGTGCAACAATAAATATTTGTGTTAACCTGATCCACTGATGTTTCTTTTTCAGGAACTAATGTGAGACATGAGACCCAACAGCATCAGCCTGGCAGGAAGGTAAACAGCTTCCCAGAGTTGTTTTCCTAACTGTATATTGAGAAGACAGAGCTGACCACCACTTCCTAGGCTAGATGGGTTGGGAGGACACGGGGCAGCTTATTCAGAGCTGCGAATCATTTCAGCCTGTGTGAGGCTCTAATGGCTGTGGGAACAATGTGCATTGCTGCACGGTGATGTGGGCCCATTTTTTCCCCTAAAGCGCGGTGGGTACAGTAGGATGAAATCTGTCTCTAAGCCTGAGGTGTCAGAGGGATGGATGGTGCTGGGGCCAGTGTGCAGGGTTTCATCTCCTGGTTTGAGGAAGGCATATGTAGCAGCAGCCCAGGGAGCTGATCTTCCAAATCTCTCTCTCCCCAAAGGCTCCAACGTACGAAGATGTCCCAGAGTTTCCAGTCTATGCCACCGTGAATAAACCCACGAGTGTGAGGCAGGATGACAGCATTCATTATGCAGACATCCAAGTGTTCACCAAGGTCCGGGAGCGCTCTGCGGCAGAGGTAAAGAACTTGCAAATGCAGAATGCTACAGAGTATGCCACCCTCAACTTCCCCCGGCCCAGGCTGAAATATGACAGTAAGAATGGGACCCTGGTATGAAGGGCTTGATGGCCCCCTCCTCGTTCAGCAGCAAAAGGACTTCACAGACTTAGAGATGCTGTAGATGCAGTCTCATCGCATGGACACATCATGGCTCCCTGAGAAGGTGCACAGCGACCGTGTCTTCCACCTGCATTCTCTTCAGAGTACACAGACATATTTATTCTCACATGATGAGTAGTTTCCTATTTGATTCTGCCAACAAAAAACACCTCTTCCCTTTGGAAGAGTTGCCTCTGCAGCTGGCAACCCATCTCCTCTCCGCACTGTGAGAAGACAGCTGCTCCTCGGCTGACGAAGGCTAAAACCACAGCTCAGAGCTGCAGTGAGAAAATTCCTGCTAAAAAAAAACAGGAGTGCTGCTCTGCAGGTGAATTTGAGGACACAGCATACAGGACTCAATACTGGGAGAAAAGAGATGGTGCCACAGGATTTTCTATCAATGTCAAGAAAATTCTGCAGTGCGCAGAATGGCATGTGGATGATACTGTGAAGAACCTTCAACAGTGTCTACTGCAATGTCTTCCTCCAACGCCTGCCACTGTAACTTAACAGTGTCTACTGCAATGTGTTCCTCCAACGCCTGCCACTGTAACTGCAGCCATGCACTATGTGCATCCCCTTTTCTCAAAAAGCAGTGTTCTACAACCGTGCACAGCATACTAAAACCAAGGAGAGAAATGCAGAATTAACTGAGTGGTACAGAAAAATTTTTCACTGAAGGGCTGTACAGATACGCATCCTCACCCCAGCATGCACGGAAGCGAGCAGTGAGCTCTTGGCTCTGAATGGAAATGAAACAAGGCGTATTTGCAATTTCACTGCAAGGCAGCCATCTAAAAGTCACTGCCTGTATTTAGGGCAGTTATCCAGTCCTTAGACTACAGCAGCTGTTGCATGTCTGAGGTACTGGGAATGAACTCTGGTCAGCTTTAGAGAGGGCTTTGGACTTCTCCATTTTTTCTTATTTCATACTGTCAGCCTTAGTTATAAACCCCGGTAACATAGAGCACACACCGTGTGGTGCTTGCTGTTAACCCGTCCAGATACACCTTTGAGCATTTGTTTATGAATTTAAACTAGTGTTAGTAATGCAGTATAGCAATTGTCCAAAAGACTTCTGCCACTGGACTGAATTTGGCAGTTGCAGCACTGGCAGTTGAACAGGGCTCCCAAGCACTATCTTGAGGCACTACATCAATACTTGGCACATTCTGTTCCTAAATAATGGTCTGCATAGCTAAATGCAGACAGTGGGAAAACCTGTTTATTGACAGCGCTTAAAAATGGACATCCTGGTACATTTAATAACATACATATTTTTGCATATTATGGCTCAGCTAAATGTAAAAAGCCTGAAGAAGTCCTGCTCACTAAAAAAATAAAGCTGGTATGGGCAGTATTTGCAAAGATGGAAGTGTTTTGAGGACCAATCCTACGATTTTTCTACCTTTTTGCCCATGCTGTCCAGTAGATCTCAGCAGGGCTACTGTAAGGCCAGAGTAACACTGGCAGGAGAAGGCTCCTTTTTTTATAATGGATACAGTATATTTTTCTACCTGAAAAGGGTTATTTTGCCCATGCTATCCAGCTGACCTCAGTGGGACTATCCTAAGTCTGCAGTAGAAGGTTCTTCATTTATAATGGGTACAGAATTATGTTATTAGAAGGACTGGTTTTTTGAGTGCCAAGGATTTCTGTTTCTGCTTCTCCACGCTCCTTTCTGTACTCCATGCCTAGCATGAAAACCTCTCCTTTGGACTGAGGAGGATTGAATGGGCACAGGATTTACCTACAAGAGTGTGTCAGGGAGGCATGGGACATGCTAGCACTCGGTCCTGCCAGTACAGCTGTCCGAGGGGCAGCCAGGGACACAGATCCAGATCTGGTTCGTGCTGGGCAGTAGTTATATACCTCCTTGCACTGAATTGCTGGTACAAGAACTAGAAAGGGACACTAGCTTCAGTTCTAGTCAAGCCCGCCGCATCATATGAAGAAATTGGACTTTTTAGAAATAGTATTAAATATGGACTATTGTTCAGGAGACGGGAGGTTTTCTAGAAGGTGCAGAATCCAACAGGTCAATTTTTAGATCAGTTTATGTGAAACAGCCCATTATTGCAGTGGCACGCAGCGTGTGGTACTGATGATTTTTCTCACCCAGCAGCAGAGCTGGGGCCAGGGACAGCAAGCTGCACAGACGCTAAGGTCAAGCTCCTGGGCCCGGCGTGGTGTAGATTTGCACAGCCATCAGGTTAAACCAGTTTTGCTGTGGACGTAAGTAGGACTGGGTTTGGCTCAGAGGAACTTGCACTCATTTCGTCACATCACTTAGTTCTGCTCTGTGGATCAGCCTATTTGTATTCTGAACTAATGGAAGCTACAGTAGAAACTATCTTCCACTGAGTGCCTCAGGGCCTGGAACGGGCCTTCAGCTCCGATTCCCTAAGAAGCTCCAGCCTCTCTACGTAGCTAGTACTGGAAGTAGAGTGGATCTTGGAGATAATCAAACGCTCTGCATAGGAACAGGAGTAGTACAGTATTTTTGCCTGTTTACCAGGCGTTGAATAGATCAAATGTGGAAGCCGCATGTTCTGCAATACAGATTTTTCTGAAGGACTTGGTTCTGCACTGAATATTAAAAGCTTCCAACCGCGTCTCTCCTGTGTCTCCCGGCGTTGTTACGTTTAGGAGTTAAACGAGTGTTAATGTATCAATGTTCCTTGCACATTAAAGGTGTCATTTTTAGTTCTTACTAATAAATTTGCACTCTTTGGGGTAGGCCGTTGCCCGCCTGCTGCGCCGGGGCTCTGAGGGCGCACAGGCAGCGCCGGGTGAGGGTCTGCAGCGCCGGGGCCCACCCAGACCGAGGGCTCCTGCCCCATGGGAGGCGGTGCCGCTGCCTCAGGCAAACCGCGTCGGAGAAGAGCGCGGGAGCGGGTGCTGACCGCCCTCTGCCCCCG